GCTGCTGGGGCTTTCCAGTCTAGTGGACTGCTAGATGAAATACTGAGTGAACTTTTTGAGTTCACTTCCAATATAATGAGCCTGAATTCATCTGGACTCAATGAATTACTATCCAAGGTATAGTCTTGAGGTCTGAATTTACAGGCCTTTTCTCTTGGATATATATATGTGTGTACAGTGCTTGGAAAGAAATTTGACATTCTATACGTGTGGATGATCCATGCATCTATATTGTTTGTTTTCTCTGGTCTTGGAGGCAGTAAAGGAAGTCGAGCACATTTTGCTATTTGACGTTTGTAAGAACTATACAATTAGTCAATTATAGGAGCCAGGTGTTCCTTGAGATCCAAAAATGATTAGTATTTTCAGCTTAGCATCAAGCATAATTATTTGTCTTAACTGAGTTGAAAGTCAAATATAATATTGTGTTAACTAAAAGAGTGTACCTTCAGTTCCAATACAAAGTTAAATATAATTATTTGTGTTAACTGAGTTGAAGCCTCCAAGAAATTTATTGAAATGAGAAAATAATGTTGCTTAGAAACAGCAACTTTGTGCTAACTAAACCAACATCCGAATCTTAGAAACCTTTCAGATTTAAGATTGACCTCAGTTGAGCATTCAGTTATCTCTGTCAAGGTTTTGTATTGACTTGCTCCTATTTTTGTTGTTCAGTTAGTAGTTCAGTAACCAATAGCCTCAGCACGACATCTTATAAACCAAAGTTTTGCAGGTTCTCTCTGTCATAAAGCATTTGTTAGATTGTAGTGTAAGTTGCATTGCAAGTTCACATTTCACAAAACACTGGGTTGCAATGACAGAAATTTTTTCACAGGTAAATAATGTATCCCTCAACCCCGTTTCCTTTCCTGGACCACCATATGCACTGTTTCAAGCCTTTTTGTCTTATTGAAAATGCAGATTCTCAGCTCCAGTGAGGACTCTACAGGAAGAGTTGTTTATGAGGCCAGCACTTGTATCACATCTGTATTATCAAAAGTAGCAAATGCTCTCAAAACTTCAGATTCAGATACAGTTAACACTCCTTTGATGATTGAGAGATCAAAGCAGATCCTTGATCGAGCTAAGACATGTGGCTTGATGGAGCAGTTATGCATTTGCTTAGCAACCGCAGGCTCAGGCCTCATTTCTGGTTCTTCCACCATGTTGCGTACTGCTTGTGAAGCTTGTAAGGCAATCTGGTCACTGATAGATGGAGTGGAAGCTCTTTACATGAAATCAAATCCCTCGTTATTTCCTGTAACTGCTTTTCGAAGTTGTTCAATGCGCCGGCTTCAGATTCAGGACCGTGAAAGAGTCTCGTTGGTGGGAACAGATTCTACAAGAATGATTGATGCATTTGTTAGAGCTTTCTTGAGATCAAAAGCTGTTCAGGTAGCTGTCTCCTACTGTTTACGTCAACGTATGGAGACTTCACTACAGGCTACAATACAGGTGCTTCCTTATGATTTTGTAGTTATAGTTCATATCATGGTTTAATAGTGAATTATATTGTATTACCCCTTATAGAGATGTTGTAAGCTCCGCTAATGACTATTTCAGATCCTTTCAAGATGCTGCCTGCAAAGTGCAATTATTCCTGGCATTCTTTGTGGCTTACCCACTTCGCTTCCTTCCACTACTGTTGTAAGTGGTGGAGGAGATGGAAGTATAGTTTCTGAAATATTCTCCGTTTTGTCATTGTGTGCTTCGTTGCTAAGCAAAGACCCTCAAGCAGGCGAAACAGCAAAGACTAAGTTCGCAAATCCTTCCCTTCTAGCGACGCATTCGTGCCTCCTGCTTGCTATTATTGCTCAGTGTTTCAAATCCTCTGGAAGAAATTCTGCATTGTTTGTGCTGACCACTTCCATGAAAAAACAGCAAGCCAGACTTTCAGTTCTTGCCCACCATTTTTCTTCTGATGATGGGAAGGCTTCGCTGCATCCACATTCTGCATCAGCTATGTTGGCTCTTTCTTGTATTCTATCCCTTGAGTGTGGTACTCCTGTCGAGTCGTCAATCTCTGAAGTAGCAGCTCCTTTGATTCCTCGAACTGCCACTCTCTGTGAACAGCTTAAGGTATTGGATGGAAATGGAACAACTAAGCCTCATAATTCCAGTGGTGCTCTATCATATTGGCATGGTCTTCGGGATGGATGTGTTGGCTTGCTAGAATCAAGACTGAAGTGGGGAGGGCCACTAGCTGTACAGCAGCTATGTGCAAGTGGCATTCCTCTTCTTCTAATTGAGTTGTTAAACCACAACCATCAAATTGCCTCTGCTCAAGAAACTGCCAGCAGTGGATATCAGGTTGGGCTCTCCCCTGCAGGGGTTGTGTGGACAGTTTCATCGATTGGCCATTGCCTTTCCGGTGGAGCTTTGGTCTACCGTCAGATTTTACTTAGGCTTGAACACATCAAGCTAGTCAGTGACTTGATATCTGAAGTTCACCTCAAGCTTGTTAAAGGGTGGGGTGGTCCAGGTGGTGGAAAGGATGGAGTGAGAGATCTGATAAACTCTGCAATTGATATGCTAGCTTTCCCTTTTGTTGCTATTCAGAATGCTCCTGGTCTGCCTGCTTCTAATGCATCTATAAACAGCGGCTTCCTTCTCAACACGGGTTCACCTGGGGGTAAAATATGCATTGAAGATAGGGCCATTGTGAAAGCAATAGAAGAAGATTTAGGGAAGTTTGCAAAAATCCTATTGGAGGTAAGATCGTGTTCTCTTTCTTTGCAAACTCGATTTTACTGTTGGCTTGTTACATGGAAATATCATGGAGTTCATACCTGACTAAGGGTTTAGCGTAGAGATAGCTAACCTCATTATCAAGATCTTCAGCATCATTTTGCATTTAAAGGCTCAGATGTCTGCTATCCACTGTGAAATTATGTTTCTGATTCTCATTATCAAACCTTAGGTGGGAGTACCTAGCATTATTCTTCAGTGCCTGGAGCATGTAGAAACAAAAGATTTGGGTAGGCCTGTTGCATTTCTTGCAAAAATGGCTGGCCACAAGCATATGGCTGTTCACCTTGTGGGCAAAGGCTTGTTGGATCCTAATAGAGTTCGAAGACTGCTTGATAGTTCATCCCCAAGGGAGGTTACATTGGATATCCTTATGATCATCTCCGACTTAGCTCGGATGGACAAGGTAGCTCCTACTACCCTGTGTTAGCATTGCTCTTCAGAAATGGCTTTTATACTCTGATTGCAAACCAAAATATCTTATATCAGTAGAATCAATTATTCAGTAGAATCAATTATGAAATGGTTAAACACCTTGCTTACCCGTCCTCAAGTTTGCTAGAAAATTATAATCGTGCAATCCGTGGTTCATTAGCTTGATTGGATATTCTCTGTTTGCAGGGATTCTACGAACATATCAACCGCGCTTCTGTTCTAGAGATCTTGAAGGACTTCCTGATACATGAAGACCCTAACATTCGGGCAAAAACTTGCAGTGCTCTTGGCAACATGTGCCGTCATAGTGCCTACTTCTACACTTTGCTAGTATGTAAACAAACAAATTGCACTCCAATTTTAAACTGTGGTAGTTGTGCATTTAATCACTGTTTTTGTTATCACTTTGCAGCAAAGGCATCACATAATTGGTCGCCTAATTGATCGCTGTGCAGACCCAGATAGACGTACCAGAAAATTTGCATGTTTTGCTGTAAGCTTTCTGTTTGAACTGCTTTTATATATTTAGACATTTTTTAGTTCAATTATGTTCTTATTTATTTCGTTTTGTCGTCCCCAGATTGGAAATGCAGCATACTATAACGAGATGTTATACGATGAGCTCAGAAGATCAATCCCTCAGCTAGCCAAATTGCTGCTGTCATCCGAGGAAGACAAGACGAAAGCCAATGCTGCTGGTGCATTGAGCAATCTCGTTCGCAACTCCAGCAAACTCTGCGACGAAATTGTCTCCAATGGAGCTATGCAGGTTTGTCATGCAAACTATGAGCCAGAAGTGATCGCATATGCTTTCCATGCAAATGGAGGACATGTTTTAATGCACCCTAGAACGAAGATAAATTATTGTGCAACTAGAGAAATTGTTCATGGACAGATGATTCTGTTTTAATGCAGGCTTTGCTGAAGCTGGTAGCCGACTGTTCCACGATAGCCCTGAACCCAAGTAGGAAAGATGGGTTGAACGAATCTCCCCTGAAGATAGCGCTTTTTTCACTGGCGAAGATGTGTGCACACGCGCCTTGCAGGGAGTTCCTCCGGTCATCAGAATTATTTCCTGTGATAGGGCAACTGAGGCAGTCCCCGGAATCCACCATCGCCAACTACGCTACCCTCATTAACAGTAAAGTCGGCGGAACTTGAGATGGAGTTGGGGGGGTAGTTACAGGTTAAACATCCTCGTTAGCTTTTTTAGTTCCAGAGATGTGCTGATGGGAGTGGTTGTTTTGGCGCTCGTTCAAGAACTCACAGCTGATAGTGCAAACAAGGATTGCGCGATCCTTTGTATGAAATTGTTTTATGTGCTTTCATGCTCAAAAACTGATGTAGATTGGAGCATGTGACATTCTGATAGTGAGCAATTTGCAGTTGATCAAGCAACTTATGCAGCCACGAAATTACCAAATGGAAATCATCTCTAACGTGCCATTTCTCTACAAAGTTACATCATGTGGTTGTATGTGAAGTAATGTTTCTAACAGCGCTACCATTCTCATCTGTTCATCGTCGTGGATAATGGTCGATGGCCTGGAAGCTTCTAACAGCAAACAAGGTATGTTCTCCTATTTGATGCACATGTTGCTTTGTCTTGGCAAATGCATTAAGAATACTTGATCTTATGGTTAAACCTTGTGAAGGTTTTCTTGATTTCCAAGGCAGATTTGCAGAGAGAGAGAGAGAGAGAGAGAGAGAGAGAGAGAGAGAGAGAGAGAGAGAGAGAGAGAGAGAGAGAGAGAGAGAGAGAGGAAGAGAAAGAGAAAGAAAAGGTTATAAAACAAGGAAGATTCCCGTGAGTTTGTTTTCAAGCACATCGCGGCTTTCAATGATGACCCTGCAGTTCATGGCATTCTTGTCCAGTTGCCCCTACCAAAGGAATTCAAGGGCTTGAGATCGTGATGATGTATGTATGTTTTTCTGTTGCAGCATATGAATGAAGAAGACGTCTTGAATGCTGTTAGCATTGAGAAAGATGTAGATGGTTTCCACCCTTTGAATATTGGCAGGCTCTGCTGTAGGCCAATCGAATATGGTGAGAGGGAGTTGGTTAAAGCCTGGTGCCGTCGTCATTGATGTTGGAATCAATGCTGTTGAGGTGAGATAAGGCGACTGATTGCGATATATACTCTGTGCTTTTCTTGATCATTTTGTCGATTGAACTACTGGTCCCTGCAATACTCAGCATTTTTCTTGATACTTTCCTCTACTGTTAGATGTATTTAACTGATTTGGAGAGGGTTGTTGGGGGTGGTCTTGAGGAGGTCGAATTCCAGTTCCTTTTGGTGAGTGTGTTGGTCATTGACTGTTGCTTTGTTTTCTTGTTCTGATGCATGTTCAAAAGGATGCATCATGCTCTCGAGGGTATAAATTGGTTGGGGATGTTTGCTACGAGGAAGCCAGCAAAGTTGCATCTGCAGTAACTCCAGTACCAGGGGGAGTTGGTCCAATGACCATAGCAATGCTTCTTTCCAACCCATCTAACAACTTTCCCATGCCACCACGAGGTACGAAATGATTGTCTCATATGACTAATTGGATATGCAAACATTCCTGGGTTTCTAGCGCCATATAAGACAAAAGAAGCACGTCATTTTCAAGATATCGATCGTGGAGGTGGACCAAAGACTCGTAAACAACTTTTTAACTATTATCATTCATCTCTACGCAATGTTATCGAGCATTGTTTTGGAGTTTTGAAGGCTATATTTCCCATTTTGAAGCATATGCCTCCTTTCGCTCTCAAGAAACAAGCACACATTGTTCTTGCATGTTGTGTTATTCATAACTTTATTAGGATCCACTCTGGTGACGACACTCTGTTTGAAGAATATCAAAATTATTGCACGGGGGAGAATGCCAATGGAGTGCAAGGAGGACAAGAACGAGAAGCATATAATCATAGTTCAAGCCAAACTCGAGCGATGGATGTACGACGAGATGGAATAGCAGACAAGTTGTGGGATGACTTTCAAGCTGGACTTACTTGAATTTTTATGTTGTACTAGTACTTAATTAATATAAATTAAAAATTATAATCATGTCTAGGGTTGTATGATAATCAAGAATCAGAAAACAGAATGAAGCAACTAAACAGGTTTTCATTTCAGAACTCAATTTCAGAACTCATCAAAATTCTCAGCTAAACAAGGTTTTTTCAAGTTTTGTTTTCTAGGAAATGACAGCTTCGTTTTCATTTTAATTTTGTTTTCTGTTGTGGCAGCTAACAGAAATGGAATGGCAAGTAAACGGCCCATCAGGTGGTCTCGCCGATTCTTTTCTCCAAAACACAATATCTGTGTCAATACTTTTTAATCCGCTATATTTGTGGTAAATTAAAAAAAAACAATATTTGTGTTATTCTTCAATAGGAGCGCGCCTCCAAATCCAATTGGCCGTTACCGGTAAAAGGAAACGGAAGATGATAAGCTTCTCTGTATCCCCTCCGACGAACGTCCTCCCCCTCAGACCTTCTTCAGCCGCCGTTCCCGGCGAAAAGCATTCTTCTAATTTATCGTCATCCTTCAAACCCGCCGCTGATTTCCAACCTCTGCAGCTAAAAACCGCTCTCCTCCGCCAACTCGATGCCGGGAATCTTCACAAAGCGGTCTCCACTCTTGACACGATGGCCCAACAGGGGAACTATCCAGACCTCGCCGCCTATTCCCTTCTCCTCAAATCCTGCATTCGCTCCCACAACTTCCAGCTCGGCCGGACCGTTCACGAGAATCTCTCCCGCTCCGGAATTGAGCCCAACTCGGTCATCCTCAACTCGTTGATCAGCCTGTACGCGAAATCCGGCGACTTGGAGAGAGCCGATTCGATATTCGGGAGCATGGGAGGGAAGAGGGATGTGGTTTCATGGAGCGCGATGATCTCTGGTTATGCAAACAATAATGGGATGGGATTCGAAGCCATTGCTGCGTTTGTAGAGATGCTTGAATCCGGGATTTTCCCCAACGATTACTGCTACTCCGCGGTGATTAGGGCGTGTTCCAGTAAGGAGATGTTACCCTTCGGCGAGGTGATCTTCGGGTCGGTGTTGAAAACGGGGTACTTGGGTTCCGATGTCTGCGTGGGTTGTGCGCTGATTGACATGTTTGTAAAGGGAGGTAAGGACTTGGAATCTGCCTACCAGGTGTTTGATAAAATGCCTGAGAGAAATGTGGTTACCTGGACGTTGATGATAACGAGGTTTCAGCAGCTGGGATGTCCTAGAGAAGCCATTGAATTGTTCATCTCAATGGTTTCGAATGGCTGCGTGCCAGATCGTTTTACTCACAGTGGAGTGATTTCTGCTTGTGCCGAGTTGGGTTTCTTATCACCTGGCCAGCAGTTCCATGCTTGGGTTATAAAGTCAGGATTGGCGTCAGACGTTTGCGTTGGATGCAGCTTGATCGATATGTATGCGAAATGCTCTCCAAACGGGGCGCTAAATGTCTTAAAGGAAGTGTTCGACAGAATTCAAGACCATAACGTGATGTCTTGGACCGCCATCATCACAGGCTACGTTCAGAGTGGAGCACACGACATGGAAGCAATCGAGCTCTTCCTCGAAATGGTTCAAACCCGAATTACCCCCAACCAGTACACTCTCTCTGCAGTTCTTAAAGCGTGTGCAAGCCTCTCCAATCCACTAATCGGCGAACAAGTTCACTCTTATGCAATGAAGCTTGGTCTTTCAGCAGTCGACTGTGTAGGCAACTCTCTCATCACCATGTACGCGCGATCAGGGAACATGGAACACGCCAGGAAAGCCTTTGATGTCCTGTTTGTGAAAAATCTGGTTTCTTACAACGCCATGGTCGATGCATACTCCAAGAGCTCAAACTCCGAACAAGCATTCGAGCTCCTGCACGAAATCGAAACCGAAATCGATTCCTTCACATTCGCCAGCCTATTGAGTGGAGCTTCGAGCATTGGCGCGATAAGCAAAGGCGAGCAGATCCATGCCAGGATCCTAAAATCGAGCCTTGAACCGTGCCTTCACGTCTCCAACGCTCTAATCTCCATGTACTCCACCTGCGGGAGCATAGATTCCGCTTCCCAAGTCTTCAATTCCATGGCAGATCGAAACGTCATATCCTGGACTTCGATGGTGACAGGATTTGCCAAACACGGATTGGCAGCTAGAGCATTGGAGACATTCGACGAGATGGTGAAAGCAGGAGTGAAGCCGAATGATGTGACTTACATTGCAGTTCTATCAGCTTGCAGCCATGCAGGGTTGGTCTCAGAAGGATGGTCACACTTCGAATCGATGAAGACCCAGCACGGTATCAACCCCAGAATGGATCATTACGCTTGTATGGTCGACTTGTTAGGCCGATCAGGGCATCTAAACGAAGCCATGGAGTTCATCAACACAATGCCATTCAAGCCAGACCCTTTAGTCCTCCGAACACTCCTCGGAGCTTGCCAAGTACACAAAAGCACAGACCTCGGCAAGAATGTTGCCGACATGATCATCGAACAGGACCCCGACGATCCAGCAGCATACGTGCTGCTTTCTAACCTTTACGCAACAGCCGGGCAGTGGGACAAGGTGGCAGAGATCAGGAAACAGATGAAACAGAGGAACCTGGCCAAGGAAGCCGGCTGTAGCTGGGTCGAGGCGGATAACTTGATCCACAAGTTTCACGTCGGCGACACATCACACAAACAAGCTTTCGAGATCCACGAGGAACTGAACACGCTGGTCAATGAGATCAAAGAGATGGGTTACGTTCCGAACACGGACTTCGTGCTCCATGATGTTGGGGAAGAAGAGAAGGAGAAGTATTTGTTGCAGCACAGTGAGAAGATTGCTGTGGCGTTTGGGTTCATTGGTTCGGTTGGGTCTTCCAAACCGGTCAGGGTGTTCAAGAATCTGCGGATCTGTGGGGATTGCCACGCGGCTTTCAAGTACTTCTCGGTGGCCCGGGCCAGAGAGATTGTGGTCAGAGATTCGAACCGATTCCATCATTTCAAGAACGGGAGTTGCTCCTGCAATGATTATTGGTGAAGTTTTGGGCCTCAAACCTGGTGTGGGCCTTAAAAATGTTGGACCCCCCTGGGTTGGGCTAATGGAGGATGGGCTTATGCTCGTCAAACTTTTACAAGGTCCAGCTAGAGAAATCCTCCCAACATGCCGCTTTTTGTTTCAGCACCATAAAACCTGCCAATTGTATACAGGAAACCCAACCTGCAGTTTTTTAAGTTTTCTTGGCTATATAGAACACGTGTACCATGCCCGCCAACACCGTCCATACTTTTTTTTTTACAAAGATTACCGACTTTTATTCCACCAAACAAATGAAAGACGAGAAACTTGGTTACAATCTTTAAAGAAGATCAGAAATGAGATCAAGAATATTAATCCAATCATCAGGAAGTGATGCTCGAGCTTTTGATCGTGCAACCCAATCTGCTCTAACATTAAGTGTTCTAGGCACTTCTTTGACTTTGATGAGAGGGTTTGTTCGGAGAATAGAAACAATCGATCCGATCCATGCTGCACATCTCCATGGCCATCGAGAGCGATCACTATCCAAAGCTTTCACCAGCACCTGACAGTCGGACTGAACCGTACACTCGGATCCATATTCTTGAGCTAATTTCACTCCTTCAAGAAGGGCCTTAGTTTCCGCTTCAATCGGGGTGGAACAAAGAAGATTCTCAGCTCTTCCATCACACACTTGTCCATGGTGGTTAACAACCACAACACCATATGCCGCCGACTGGGAGTCGCTAACAAACGACCCTCACAGTGAATCACCAAAGACTGATTGCTTGGCGGTGGATTCGTATGAGACTGGGTTCCCCTAAGCTGAGTGGGAAGGGAGGGCAGGGGAGGAGGGGACCTCGGGCACGAATTCCATTCAGTAAGCTCTTTATACGTAAGTTGGCACACCTTCGGAGGCCACGGAATTCTACTCTTGAAGGTGCATTCGTTTCTCACCTTCCAGATGTTCCAACAAAGGAAAACAATATGGATCAAGGAGCTGTGCTGAACAACATCTTTAATGGAGCAGAACCAGTCAAAGAACACGGTTCCCTGAGGGGGTAAAGGGAGAGACGGAAACAGGGCATTCCATGCCTCCTTGGCATGTGGGCATTGGAACAAGCAGTGATTGATGGATTCGACTGGGTTTAGGCACACCTGACAAGAAGAATTGGGGGCACACTTCCTCTGGTGCAGTCTTTCTTTCGTTGCTAACCCATTCTTTGAGCATCTCCACACAAAGAATTTCAACTTCGGGGGGATGTGAAGGCTCCAAATCCACTTCCATTTTTCAGTATTCCCGCTTGGTTGCATATTGGTGTTGGCTCTGTGAATCTTATGGTACGCAGATTTAACCGTAAACTTTCCTTCTTCATTGTAGTTCCATGCCCAATAGTCCTCAGCTCCATCCTCCCCGATTGGAATCCTGAGGATAGCTTCGAGCTCAGAGCTGGACACATGCCCCTGGATTACATCCGATTGCCACTTCCTTTCTCCAGGATCAATCCACTCGTTAACCTTATGATGATTCTGAGGGCCAGTCCTGAGAGCAAAATTGTCCAAAGTGGGGACCCAAGGATCCCTATCAACCCACGTGTCATTACCTGATCCAATTACTCTAACCGCTCCCAAACCAATCACCTTTTTTGCCTCCCATAGACTAGCCCATATCCATGAAGCTTTGCTCCCCTTTTTTGCATTAAGAAAATCACCTCTATGGAAGTACAAGCCTTTCAGGAGACGACTCCACAATGCCTCAGGGTTCGTGAGGAGGCGCCAAGCCTGCTTAGCAAGTAGGGCAAGGTTAAAATCATTGAAACACCGTCCATACTTGTTGGTAGAAAATGTTTTTAAACAAAGTCGAAAAGGAATATTGCAACTGTTCCTCTTGCCAGCAGTGCTAACTAGGACTACACTTTGACGAAACTCTGATAGTTTTGTACAGAAAGATCTACAATAATAATAATAATAATGTATTATTAAATATCTAAGGGAATAATAATTTAGTGACACGTACGTCCGGAAAAAAGGGCCCAAAATCTTACCCAATCATGGGTCCGTGATATTTTTTTCCATTGGGGGGAGGGCCCGGCTCGATATTTTGGGCCAACGAGAACATTCCAACGCATGTTCAAACGAAATTAGGAAAGGGGATAATGAGTTCATTAGTCCTTACTCCTTTTGGTCATTTCACAAGCTAACTAATCAACTTCTTAAACATGTGGAGGGATCGTGTGTTGTTAAAACGTTTCACGCAATGACCCTTTCGTTTGGAGACGTCTACTATCTATGGGGTGTCAATATTGTTAACTCACAATCATTCAAGTATATATTTTTTTCTTGCTTCCATTTGTTATCGAACCAATAAAAAAATATGAAGTAAAGTAACGACGTTCGCTGACTGGTAACTAAAAAGAAAATGTTCAGACCGTCTAGTGCTAAATGTTGTTTATGTCCTTTTCGTTGTTATCATCGTGATCAAAGTTTTTTTACAAGAAGATGCTTGTTTGCCTTTTTTCAGTTTCAATCGTATGGTGATCTCTTTAGGATCAGGAAAGTGAATGTCAAAACAAGTCTGTAGCAATTGGACAATACACACAAATGACGAATTCGAACGGCTCTCTATCAAGCATCAATATGCTTACGGTGCAGGAAGACAAAAAAAAAGGCATGGAAATTTCAAGCATGGGTGCAAGGCTATTGCTTGAAGTGATGAGTCTATTCATAGTGGTGGATCTACAATGTCATCGACCATCCTCCATTTTCGAGTTAAAAAATACTGAACTTGTAAAAGTTTTTAAGAAATAATTCCACCGGTAAAACACGAATCACTACTTTTTCGCGCTTGGCCGACTACTCCGATTTCTTAACTCTACCACCGTGTATTTTGAACAATGAGGATGCATGCTTATGAGTTGTGAATGAGTGAGGGAAGTGGTACACTCTGAGTGAAAATGACCTAAAACGGAGACGTATTAGCTGAAAATTTAATGAAACAAAAAAAGATAACTAGCTCAACAATGAGAAAATTCTGGCGATGCAGCTAATAAATATAAATTAATAACAAAATAAAGATCTCAATGCGAATTGCAAAGAAAGAAAAAAAGTGACACATTGTACGAGGTGCAACTCTCGACACGCGACCGAGCGCAGTATGCCACGTGTCCCCGGGTACGTCAAGTCAAAGAAATTTCATTTTTTTAAAATCATAATTTTCATTGCTTTTTAGTGTCAGCGAATGAATATGAGGAAAAAAGGGGGGGCGTTCAAGAAAAGTCCCAAAAGCAAAATCCTCTACCGCCACGGTACGCCACGTAACGATTTCTCTCTCTCTCTCTCTCATACCATTTTTTTTTTTTTTTGTTTCAACGAAGGGGAAAAAAATCAAAATAGTAGTTTCCAGCCGGCCGTGGGGCCGACCTTCCACCGAAACCAAAATCCGGGGAGGGGAAAGATCCCGATCGACCACGTGACACGGCGAGGCTCAATCCCAGCCGTCCACGTCTCCCCCTCCGGTCCCCGAAATGTCTCGTGGAAATATCCGCGCGGGTGTGGTATCTACATGCCCATGTCCATGTGGCGGTAACTCTATGGAGCCAGCCCTAAGGCTGCGTTTGCTGACCCTTATTATTTTCAAACATTTTTTGGGATTAATAATGAATTACATATTTAGGGCAAATGGGTAAAGTTTGTGGTGTTTTTTTTCCGTAGATTAATTATGAGTTTCATATACCATTTTTCTAATGTTATGGATGCAACAAATATTAAGTAATAAGTAGCGACTCCAAAAATCGAATTATAAAACAATGACATTGTATAACCTCGAAGTATAGATCCTTTAATAACATCTGACATAAGAGATGATGTGAATTATCAATGGATGGGGATGTTGATGAAATCCCCCTTGAGTTATAAATATGGTATCAGTGTGGCTTGCAAGCCAGCCAACAAAACGACCGAATTCTTTTAGAAATTAGAAGTGATTAATTATTAGCGCGATATTTAGTCTGATGAGTGTGTTCGTCAATAAAAAATAACTCATTCGTTCTACAAGTGAACTCTTGACCAAGCGTATAATTTATCAACTCGCATTAAAAAAGAACCAAATACTCGATATCTAAGGAAAAAAATAACAGGAATAAGTTACGACGAAATCTGAAACTGATAAGATTTTGTGTTATGAATCAAACAATACCATTATATTATTTTTCTCATCATAATCCACATATTATTAAACCACTGTAAATAATTTTTCTGGTCGAACCACAAATTTTTCAAATCTTGCTCGTTATATATATATATATATTGAAGGACCTCATAGGTCGTTGTCGCCATGCTGTATTTATATGAAACCAAACAAGCACCATTGTCCCCTCCCCTAACCTTTCCATTTTCCTCTCTCTCTCTCTCACCCAACTCTCTCAAGCTCTTTATCTCCTTTCAACTTCCTTCCAAACCAAACAAATGAACGGGTGGCAGTTCGGAATTGGATTTGCTGCCAATTGTTAGCTACCCCAACCTTCTCTTCTCTCTCTCTCGATGAATCAGTTCGTGCTCACCAAAACGATCAACGCCCGCCGCCGGCGACTGAGAATCCGGCGACTCAAGTACACCTGCTGCGAGTCTCCCAACTCCCACGATCTCACCGCCACTCTCGCCACCGCCGTGAAGGAGAAAGAATCCTCTTCTCCCGCAGCAGCCGTCCGCGAGATTTCCGTGCTGTTGACCGCCACGTCAGCACCGGCCGATAAGAATGACAGCAACTCGGATCCGGGAAACGACGCCGTTTCGTGGGGATCGGCGTCGGCGATCGGCGGGAGGAAGGAGATGGAGGACGCGGTCGCGGTGGAGCTGGGGTTTAAGGGGGAGTACGATTTCTTCGGGGTGTACGACGGGCACGGCGGGGCGGGGGTGGCGGAGGCGTGCAGGGAGCGGCTGCACGAGCTGCTGGCGGAGGAGATTGGCGGCGCCGCCGCCGTTGCGGAGTGGGGAGGAGTGATGGAGAGGTGTTTTGGGAGGATGGACGGGATGGTGGAGGAGAAGGATCGGATGGTGGGGTCGACGGCGGTGGTGGCCGTGGTCGGGAAGGAGGAGGTGGTGGTGGCCAATTGCGGCGACTGCAGGGCCGTGCTCTGCCGCCGCGGCGGCGTTGTTCCGTTGTCTTCGGATCACAAGGTAATGGAATC